ATATACTACTTATTTTAGTTTATTATTGTTGTATACTGTATGTTACACACACGACGTACGACGTACGTACGACCGTACCTCTTCTTACTTACTTATTCTCCTCTCTCTCTCTCTCTCTCTCTCTCTCTCTCTCTCTCTCTCTCTCCTTTCTCTTTCTCCACACAGTTTACATTTATCTCTCTCTCTAGCTTTGTCGCTCTTCTCTAGGTAGCACCCCACCTCCATAGCACATTGGGGTTGTACGCACCACTCAAAAGCGTAGAAAGGGGGCACGCCCAACGTTAGATTAAGTTAGGAGGCGCCACTTAGTGGCATGCCCCAGGGATTGAAAAGGGCCTAAGAAACCCTAATTGAGACCCATGCTCTCTACCATATAGTCTTCAAATAAGGGTGTTCAGATTGGTAGATTTAAGGATCAAGTGCGCCATCAGTCAGGTGATCGGGTGTGGGTTGTGTTAAGTCCTAAGGGGGTAACCTAGGCAATATTTCTGTAAGTCTTCCTAGTTTTATGTATTTTGTTCTTTTGATTTTGATTATTATTTGCTTCCTAAGTTGTAGATTCAGGTTCATTTTCCAATAAATTTTTTTTTTTTTTGCAGTAAGATTTAAATATCTTAGACTTTATTTCTATTTTTACATTATATTCTAGCAATTATAAGTAGAAATTTCAGCTATTAATAACGGAAACAAGGAAATTTTTGAATTTAACTCTGGAATTCTACACAGCCACATCTTTCATTCCTCTTTTATTGTCTTCCTTATAGCTGAGCACCCGGTTTATGGGTGGCCACTATTCTTTTTTGATAGTTGTTCCCCCTATGGAACCCCTCCCCCCCCCACCCCACCAAAAAAAAAAAAGATTTTTCCATACCTCTTTTGAACTTGTACATTTTTATAATGCACCTTTCAAGGTGAACTGCCTCTGCAGAGGTGCACACGTCTCTCTCTTCCTCTCCCCACCTTCTTTATCCCTCCTCCCTCACCTTGTCTTTTCTCGCACCGGAAAACTCTTCCTTGGCTCTCTCTCCTCCTCCTTCTCCCTATTATTAACCCTTTCTCCATCAATTTTCCTCCTTCCCTTCTCACTTCTACCAAATTATTCTTTGATCCTCCTATCCTCTTCTTCTCTTGTTTCCCCTCCCTCACTTTCTTACGTCTTCTTTGTTCTTTTTTGTTCATACTGGACATTTTTTTATATAAGATTACCCGTTATTTGGGATGCCATTGGTCTTACTTCTCGTGAGGAATTTTTGTACCTTATATAATTTGGTAATATATTGTCGCCACTTTCAGAAAAAAAACTCATATAGCCTTATGATCGTATCTGCAGAGATTTCAAAACTAGGGGTGAGGTTATCTAAAACATAGCAAGTTTTCACTGATTAAATTTCTATTTATGGTTGGTAATTAAGTACTAGGTTCTAATCAGTTTATGTATCACTTTGAAGTTAATTTAATTGATTAACATAGGAAAATGCGTTGCATAGACATTCTCTTTTCAAAGAAATATAGGTATTGTATCTTGTACTAGACATATTTTTCTTTAGATTGTGAGCAAACTTGGATAACATTCAATAGAATGTGAAGAAACCGTTTGGCCATTATATAGAGAGAGACTAGGGATTGCAATTTTATTATATTCGACTAAATTTGTGTTTGAGAATACATTGGATGAATGGGTAAGGTTTATTTCCTCATTTATTAGTTGATGGCTTTCAGGGTTTTAATATGTTTCATGTTATTATTGGAGTTACATGATGATTCTTTGGATTTTGGACACTGTTTCAGGGTCATCCAATTCTCTTCAGCATGGCCTTTCAGTCAATGAACTGGTGATCTCTGGTGAACTGGTTGAGAAGCTTCTCCTTTGGGGCCATTCTGCTTGTGTATTAGATACTACAAAGTTTAAGCAAATCCTGGTTTTTGGTGGATTTGGAGGTTTAGGGCGACATGCTCGCCAAAATGAGTCTTTCACTCTAGACCCTAAAGTAGGCTTGTTAAAAAAGATAAATGTATCAGGCCCACCATCTCCACGCATCGGTCACACATTGTCAGTTGTTGGAAACCACGTATTTATTATTGGAGGCCGAGGTGATCCAATACAAATTCTTGATGATGTATGGGTCCTTCATGTAGATGAAAATAGATGGGAACAGTTAGCTTGTTCTGGTAGTGAGTTCCATGCGAGGTATTTCTTAAGCAAAAATTTTGTTCTTTCCATAATTACTACATATTATTCTGTGGACATTCTTTGGGAAATGTCTCGAGTAGAAATCTTCAGTAATTTCCTTTTTTCTGATCATAACATGGCATTGGGGGCTTAGTGGGTTGTAATCTGCTGCGCAATAAAATAATCAGGACCATGTTTATGTTTAGAGACATCTTTATGTGTGTAATGCTGGATAGTTTACAACATGCTTGAGGAGTAGCCTCAATTGTAGCTTCCAAGTTTGTTCCATTTTCACCTTGAGAATTGCCATGTATTGTTATCTTCATATGGGCTAATGTTCTTAAGATTTTTTGACAGTTCAAAAAAAAAAAAAAACTGTTCTTAAGAATTGATAATGTTCTTAAGATTTTTTGACAATTTAAAAAAAAAAATAATGTTCTTAAGATTATTTTTTTTGAAAAATAAATTGTCTAAGGACGCATTTTGGGCCTTCATGTGGGCTATATGACTGAATGTGCGTGCCTTCTTTAAGCAAACTCGACCAAATTCTCCAAAACAAAGTGAGAAATAATATCCTTTAAGGGCTTCTCTCGCTTATAGAGAATTTTCCTTTCAAAGAAATTTTAAAGCAACATATTCAAAAAGTATAAACGAACCCAAAGAAAGAGGGTAAATTTGGAGAAACATCGAAAGTTTAGGCTATTTAGAAATGTTAGTAATTAGAGAAAAGCTCTAAAAGCTATTGAATGAAAGGAGGGACAGTATGCCACTTTATTTGAGCACATAAACATGGAAGGTCTCATCAAATGATTTAGGCAAGAATATAGGAGCTTAACAAGGTAGAGATGTCGACAATTTGTGTTTGTTTTATATCATTTAAAGGTGAATAGGTTGGCTCTTTTGTTTGTTCTTGATGGTGGTAGTGCTCTGTAGTTTTGCTTGTGACCCTCGAAAACTGACATTTTTGCGTTTATCCCCAACGACATAAACACACACACATACTGACTGTTTGGTCATGCGTAACACTTTTCTCCATCCTAGAGTCTCTATACATATTTTTTGGCATCTAGTGACTTGTCCATATTGTCTCTTTTGGGCCTCTAATAAAATGATTATGCATGATGCAGGCATCGGCATGCGGCTGCAGTTGTGGGTTCAAAAATATATGTTTTTGGTGGTCTTGACTGTGGAAGGATATACAGCAGCATGTTTGTTTTAGACACAGAATTGTTGCAATGGAATGAGGTGTGTATCAAAGGGGAATTGCCTTGTGCCCGCCATTCACATTCGATGGTGGCTGTCAGTCGCAAGTTATATATGTTTGGGGGTTATGATGGTGAGAGACCCTTAGGGGACCTATACAGTTTTGATGTTGCCACTTCTCTGTGGAAGAAAGAGCTGACATTGGGAACAAATCCATCCCCAAGACTTTCACATTGCATGTTTGTCTATAAAAGGTATGTTGGCATATTGGGGGGATGCCCTCTCGGATACCAATACCAGAAGTTAGCGTTACTCGATCTGAATGATCTAGTTTGGAAGCATGTTAAGCTACAATCTATCAATGAATCTCTTCTGATTCGTAGTGCAGCTTGTGTTGTTGAAGATGATCTTGTCATTATTGGTGGCGGTGCATCTTGTTATGCATTCGGAACAAAGTTTAATGCTCCATTGAAGATAAATTTGTACAAGATAGGTTTGTTACCTTGTGGTTCTTGTGATATAGGAGACAAATCCAATGCAAAAATTGATGAGAAAGGGCACGACAGTAATACCGGTATTTCCATTTGTCATGGAGATGATCCGCTGGCATCACATGAGAATGATTCAATGTGTAAGGCTACCAAATTGAGTCCTGTATCTTATGATGCTAAATTCAGTGACCACACAGACATAATGGCTGGGAGCAATAGTGATAACAAGTGTATGAAACACTGGGTTCTGCAGATTGAAAGAGCACATGCTAAATTTGGAAAGGATATATTAAAAAATTTAGGGTGGTTGGATCTTGGGAGAAGGGTGTATTCAAGCAAGGATGGAACACAAATTTATTTACCAATAACGAAAAACTGCTACCCCTTTCTTCGAGAGAAATTAATGGCTTCTGCTGAAGGATTTGATAACTGGAATGGCATTTATCCAAAAAAACTGAATTCAGGAAAGGAAAATTTTCAATCGGTTGATTCTTTATCAATATTAGTCAATCTTCTGTTATCTGGTGGTGGCTCCCTAACTATTGATGCCAGTCCTCGTGCTCGAAAGGCACCCAAAGCTCCTCACCATGTATTGAGAGAAGAAGTTTGTTCATTGATAAAGCAGAAAGGCCTTTCTCCAGAGCTGCTGGATCAGTTGCCCAGCAGGTTAGTGTTTCAGTTCTGTGATGAGCTTTAAACTTGCTGTATTTCGTTATTATATCACTCAAAGTCTCGAAGTCAACATTCTCCCTGTAGTCATGACTACTCCAGAAAATAATTCCCAATATTTTATATAATTTTAAAAGGTTTATGTTGAAGGTTTTAATATCTCAGGTGGGAGAGATTCGGGGATTTGTTAATACTTCCCATGGATTCTTTTAAGGATAAGGTTTGGGATTCTATCGGGGAGGAGCTTTGGCCAATTGTTATGAAATCACTTGAAGCAAATCGTCTTGCTCGTCAGGTTATATTATCAGCAGAATATTGCTTTTCTTCAGTTCTCAAGTAGCACCATTTCTTATATTTCAATGCTCTGTAAATATTTTTCTCCAGGAAATGAATGTGACGTGCTTTTTTGTGTAACATATCAGTTCCTTGACTCTGTCAAGTAGACAAAACTTTGTTCTATATGATAGTTTATTTATTATTTGTTCAATTTTTTTATATAGTTTCACCAATGCAATTGCTATTCTTCACGTTAATTGGATGATAGGTGTAATAGAATCAGGTCTCGTCCCTCAATGGGTTTAACTGAAAACTGCATTATAACAATGTAATGAAAGCTGTAAACAATTTTACCTCCCCAAATAAAGTAAGGTTTGTAGAGGCTTGGAGTGATTTCTAAAGCCAAAACCTTCTAAAAAACCTATCAACAGGGAATTTTTTTACCCAAAAATTTGTAGATGACTATCTTCATCCTAATAAACGCATCATGGAGAATCCGGGAAAATGACCCAGAGAATGTTCCTTTTTGAGGGAATAGAAAAATCAGTGGCTGTTGGTTGTCCATTTTAGGAAAGGACAAATGGCTATTGAGGTTTAGATGGATTTATTTGACCTCAAATTTTATAAATGTTCTCATCATCGCGAGGTGATCAATTTAAAATTTTTAAAAAAATTATTTTGGGTTCTTAAACGATTTGATACAAAACTTTTACAGGTTCAAAAGAGTGTATATCAAACTTTATGGTCAAATAAACATAGAAACTAGCACATATATATATATATATATATATATATATATATAGAGAGAGAGAGAGAGAGAGAGAGAGAGAGAGTGTAGTAGTAGTTAGTACTAGTAGTAGAGTAGTAATAGTACGTACGGTACGGTAGGTACGTTAACGTAGGTAGGTAGAGAACGTAAGTAGTTAG